TATTTGTTCAAGTCAATATTGCTTTTTAATTCATTTTTATTTATTTTATATTTAATTTAAAATATTAAATTTGAATTATAAATTTAGTTGAAAGTGCATTATTATTCTCTTTTAGATAAAATAATAAAAAATAATTCTTAACTTTTTAGAGAGATAATTGGATAAAGGAGAGCATTTTAACAATTCAAATTATTCATCCTCTTTACAAATTACAATAGACGTTAGTCATGTTGAATGGAAGGGTTCTTTTCTTTGGAAAAGAACATGTCCAACAATATCGTGATAACCAATTTTGTGTTTTTCCCTTGAATGTGCAGTCCCCATGATTGTATAATGATGTACTGTACCAAATCATTCACCCATGGAAGAAATGAGTGTGTTGTTTCGCTTCCAATAAGGGAACTTTTGGTTTTTGAAGATAAGAATCTATCCTTTTTTCTTGTGTGGATAATGAATCATCAATGAAAGGAAAGACTTGCTCCTCGATAAAGACCTCCATCTGCCTTAGATTTTTTCATTTATATCTTTAAGCATTTTTTGGAGTTGTTCGACCAATTTAGAAACGAAATAAGAAAATAAAAAATGAAGTCGTTCATAATTTTTTATATTAAATGTGATTGATTATCTATTCAAACATATCATTCTAATAAAATTTTAAAATTAAATTAAATTTATTAAAAAATACTTTTAGGATTTGGAAAACAGGTTGGTCTAGGAGTAAGTTACGCATAAAAAATAATTAGCACTCTCACAACACTCGTTTAAAATGATATTAATTAAATACATATTATCCGGTGATTTTGACAAAAATAGCTTTAGTTTTGATATTTGAAAAATAATTTTCTTTACTTTTTTTGTTTTATTGAAATTTTAGTTTTTTTTATTATTATTATTATTATCGTTATTCTTTTTTTTTAAAAATAAATAAATTAAAACCATTTTATTGAAATAATTCTTAAAATATTCTAGTATATTAGTAATATTAGAAGAATTATTTCTCACATAGAGATTTCTTAAGCATTACTTCTTAGAATACCTTCAAATCCTATTTTTAAAGGCTTGGATTTATTTTTTGTAAAAATATGCATACAATGAGAATGATAATTGTAAACATCATTTTATTAATTAATTAATTTTTTTTCTTTCTTTTTTTCTTTTTCTTTTCTTTTCTTTCTTCTAGCAGCTTTTCTATCAGTCGCTAGCAATCGCATTGCCAGCAGCTCTGACAGCCGCCTATAGCTGCCAATGGCTCTGATAGCCACCGACAGCTGTTCTGACAGTTGATGGTCACCCTAATCGTAGGCGATCAAAATCTTAGTATGTTATCAAAATCTCAGATTTTTTGAGATTTTAATCTTCCTTTTGCTCTATAAATATAGCTACAAAAACACTAACGGAAGAAACTGGCAAAAAAAGAAAGAGAGATCTAAAAATAAAAAAGGCACTACCAAGTTAAAAAAAAAAAAGAATCAAAACACCAAAATAAAAAAATACAGTCCCCTGGAATGGGTAACCCAGCGCCAAAAACACAAAAAAAAAAATCAATCAACATTAGTTGCAACAAAAAAAAGTCAAAATAAAAAAAAAAGAGAAAAAGGGTTTTGGCTAAAAGTTCAAGAACATATCTAGGTCATTCGGGTCTCATTTTGATAAAACAGAGCCTAGATTTGAGTTCAGAAAGTCGATGAGAGTATTTTGGTGTTTTTTAAAATTTTTCAAGACCAACGATGGCGGTCGGAGCTCGTCGCAGGCAAGGACCATGGCCGTTGTCATGACGAACGGCCATCGACCCCTAACTTGTCTGAAGAAAATGGGAGAGAGTTTTTTTTTAGGGAAAAGGGAAGAAATGCTATTTTTTTTTTTTTAACTTTTATATAGGACTCTAACACTAAAACGATGTCGTTTCATTTAAACACCAAAACGACGTTGTTTTAAGTTCAGGATCCGCTCGTCAACCCACCAACCTGTCAACCCAACTTGGGGTTCATACAACCGACCCGATGACCTGACTCACCCTTTGACCATTAATCGGTCCAACTGAACTGGTCGAGACTGAACCAAATCGATACTAAACTGTCGAACTGACTGGACCCGTATTGACCGAACCATTGACCTATCTGGTTCAGTTAAAAAATTTTTTTTGAATTTTTGAATTTTTAATATATCATTTTATTAATATTTATGCATATTAAAATATTTATATTTATTAGATTAAATGATGAAATATGTAGTTAAATTTTTTTAATAATTTTTTTAATTTTAAAATAAACTAAAATAATAAAAATAATAAAAATAAACTTTCTAATAATAGTATAAATTAAATAAAAATGTAAGAAAATGAAATTTTTATCCAACGATGAGATTCATAGGTACCCGAGTAGTGATACCTATGAAATCTCTAAGTGAGAAAAATTTTTTTAATACTAATAGTGTATTGGAGTATTTATAAAAAAATTTTAATATAATAAAAAAAAAATTTTCTTGTTATAAAATAAAAAAAGTAAAAATTTACTAATTTATTAAAAAAAAGTGAGAGGAATAATAATAAAAATGAGGAAAAAAGAAATATTATATGATAATGGGATTCTAAAACTATTATGAGTAATGATGCATTTTTTTCAAAATAATTGTTTTACTGTGCATTTTTTTGCCACTTCAAAGATTCAAAAACTTTGCCAAATTTCTTACTTTTCAATGGCCTTTGATTGTGAATTGCTATTATGCGACCTCCCTTACTTGATTATTTGAGATTAATTGTTGTGCTAGATTTTGCTCCCTACCTCCATATTGATTATCAATTGCTATTGTGCTCAATTGTTATTTTTTCATTAGAGTTAATGATTTTAACCGCAAATATTAATAGAAAGTAGACTCAACGATGTGTTTGATGTGTTTTAAGTCACAGCCATAAATTAATCTTTATTTGAACAAATTCAAAAAGATTATATCTTACATTAAACTAAATTAAAATCGAAATCCTTAATTGAGAGAAAACACAAATGTTAAATTTTTAATTGAGCACTTAACCACGCCAATTTGATTGCTGTTGAGAACTGAGCAGACATAGGTGCATAACCGCAATTAATTTGAAATCAATGTCTAACATTGTTGCTGATTGCCTTTGACAAATAAGAGTTTTTTCGTCTTCTTAAATGATCCAATTTCTCTTATAACTACACCCAAAAGGAAAAAGTTTCCGGGTGTGGATAAAACAAGCCAGATTGTAAATGGACCATATAGACTTCCGTATAGTTAGAGTGAAGGCCTGGATTTTCAAGGCAGTCCACTTTGACTTTGGGTCAAACATGAAATTTACATGGGCTGAGAAACCATTGGACTTTTAGCTAAGAGTATATTGACGAAAAAAGAAGAAATATCATGAAAGGTTAATATAGAAAGTGCCAAAATGTCGTCTTCATGAAATTCATGGCAGATTGTTATTGCATTTGGGTTTTATTTTTGTTGGGTAAATAATACTCCTTCATGGATGATGACAGAGATGAATTCTACATGAATGGCTTCTTTAATTTGATTCTTGATGCGACTCCTGGCAGGGACAACGACACTCAGTGCTGCTCTAGTTCAGGTTAATCCCAATTCTCGGTTAGTCCTATGTTGGAAACAAGACTATTTTCATTTTCAATTCCTATGGCTATGTAAAAATGCAGTTGCTACTGGTCAGTGTACTATGTTGGTAACTGTTGTTTATGCATGCATGCTGGATTATTTGGAAGGAAAAATTTGCAGCTATGATGCAGAACAAGAGACCCTGCATGTACAGACATTTCAGATGATAAATATGGAGCAGTGAAAGAGAAGCTTTAGTGTATTGAGCTAGAAAACAAGTAGGAGTTCAATGTGTAAAAACCAAGTTGTCTCCTGGAAAAAGCCTGAGGAGGGTTGGGCAAAAATGAACTGTGATTGGGGCTTTCTGTGATAAAAATAAGAAAGCTCGTATTGAGATTGTAATAAGAAACAAGGATGGAATGTTGACTGAGTTCAAACCTTACAATTATCATTCATTCACAAATGTTATACTATTGAATAAGTCTTTGTAGCAAAATTTCATTCCAATCAAAGTCTATACATATAGTTCCACATAAAAAATTAAAAAAAAACTATACTTAATGTGATTTCAATCAAAATCCACAGTATTGAGAAGGAGAAAAATTCAGATTCACAGGTTTTAGCTATCTCCATTCTCTGTACTATTACAGTAACGAGAGACGACGTGTTCATTTCCAGACTAGCTTCTCAATTTGCATACACAACCTCCACCTCTGATTTCTTTTCGGATATCATAATTTAATTTAGAAAGCCCCCAGCTGGAATATATAAAAATTACTGCTCAATATGCAACTTAGTCAAGCACACAAAGGCACAAGGGAAGAAATGAATCAGTGATGGTAACTGATACAGAGACATTTTTTATTCACAAGCGAAGTGTCTTGCTACGATTAACAGAGATGCAGATATTCCTTCGCTTTTCTTCCATTTTCTTTTCCTTCAAATTCCATAAATTGAAATGTTTCTCAAGCTACACAATTTACTGTCAATACAGTCAATCAGTTTTTCCGTTTGAACCGATCTTGATAAGCATAGTATTTGATTAATTGTTTTTTTTTTATTAGTTCTTTGTAATTGATTATTTATAGAACAACTTATTGCTCACTTTTATAAAAAAATTAACTCATTTATCCAAAAAAAAACCAGCTGAAAAGTGGTTTCAATCATTCAACAACCATATAAATTTAGCCAACAACCGTATTTTATGTTCGTAGAATGTTTGAATTTTAGTTTTAGTGATAAGGTTTAAATTAAATTCAACAAAAAAAAAAAACAATTCATAAACAATAGTTAAATACAAAACGGTCGTGATCAATAAATCTGTTTGGAAACTATGGGTATCGTAATCAAATTAGAATATTGGAGGGTGGGATTTGGAATTATTTACGTGTATTATTATTCATAGTCAAACGAAACTCTTCCATTTTTTGTTTTGCCTCTCAACCGTTTCTGCTTTTCTGACACGTTGAAAGTGCTCTCCATTACGCCATCCCCTTGAGATTTGATGATTGTGCGGATCAACAAAGGGAGAAAATTTTATTGAAAACGAAAGGAATACAACAAAAATTGAAAGCCGAAATCATCGTCATTCATCGAAAAATGTCCATGTTTGAATATATGCATATGGTGGTAGCATTAACACTTGACTTGTCAGCAGTGATCCTCATCTTTGTTTTTTCTCCTTTTTCTGCACTTAACAAGAGGTTGATATTTTAGAAAACGATAAGGTGAGCCTGACTACCTTGACTACCGGCAATCTTGACAGTTCTGAGGTGCCACGTTTGAACTTTGAGTTGTGGGCTGTGTTTTATTAATGAGTATAAATTCTGAAATATGACCAAAGTCCCAAATCCAGAACTAATTAAGGCTTGAATTATGATAGTTAATATATACCACAACATTACTTATAATTCCTTATCCAATAAGAAAATATATAGTAAATAATTCTAACTCCATGTCCAAGTGTGACACTTTTTCATTTCCAATTACAGTCCAAATCAAGATTGGCTAAATAACCCAGGACAATATGGAAAAAAAGGCAATTACAACTACCTTGGCAATTATTGGATAAGAATTAAGGAGAAAAGAAGAGAAAAAAAAAATGGTGGCAAGACAGGCGTCTATGATACCAGACATAGTTGCAAAATGATAAGCTAATTTTGTTTTTACCGAGAGCTGGTACTTTCTGATGAGCTCAAAAGTTTCTCTAAGTAATGGGATCCTAAATCTTCTAACACCACCACATTATTCTTTGCTTGTGATGACTGCTTCTTTTTGTTTGTCCTGGTGGTCATTTTTCTTTGTAAATAATTCCTCTCTTTTAGTTCTACGGCTGGTGAGGAACCATCCTGGCAGTAGTAATTCATGTTTCGAAGCGATTCCCGGACTCTTTCAATGGGAAAATTGAGCACAGCTCTGGGCCCTTGTGTCGATAAGGCTGCTTGATCATAAGCTAAAGCAGCTGCCTCGGCGCTGTCAAACGTTCCAAGCCAAACCCGAATGCCATGCCTTGTCGAATCCCTTATCTCCGCCGCGTATTTTCCCCACGGTCGCTTCCTTACCCCTCTGTATGATTTTTCCTTCTTGGATTGCTGTTCTTCTTCTTGTTTGTTGGCACTGGAAGTGGAAACTACTACATGTGTTTCTTCATCAATTAACCCACAACTGGAAGAGCCTGATGATTCTCTTGACCTATGATGAGAAAGTGAAGTATCTTGAGGAGACAACTGATCTTGGGAGTCTATTATGTCAAATGAGAGGAAATCTTGGTCGAGGAAAGGCTCATGATTAATATTGGATGAGAAAGACTCAAGCAAACCTTGTGGAAATTCTAGCAAGGAGTCTGAATTTTGGCTTTGAAAGAAGGAAGAATCCATGTTTTCGATGGATAATAAGCTGAAGTTTTTTATGCGATCGCTTTATAATTAAGTTGCTTTAGTTTTTAGCTGAATATGTATTGATTTGACAAATTTTTATCGGATAAATTTTTATTTTTTTATTGTATTTAAATAAAATTTTATTTTAAACAAAATATTAATATATATTAAAGATTTATTTAATACAAATTAAAAATTTATTTCTATATAAATTAAAAGTTAAAATCTTATTTAGATATAAATTAAATTTTAAGAGTTTATTTGAGTGTAAAATGAAAGTTAAAAGTTTATTAGATGTAATAAAAATATAAATATTTATTTAAATAAAATGGTAAATTGTAGAGTTTTTTTTTATTAATTTAGCATTATTATAATCCAAGTTGCTTGTGCATGTGCACCATCTTATTAATATTATTTTACCAAGTTGTAATTATAATAAATAAATTAATCAATAAATGAACATATAATTCAACAAATTTAATATAAAATTAGATCACACTGATTTTTTATGAAACTTAAAACTAAGAACTTAAAATTTCAATATTTTCTTTTTGTCACTAAATCAAGACCACACTCATTCTCTTCATTAACTAAGCCAAGCCAACATACCAATAAGGCATTGGCTTAATGATAACGAGAAAGCTTTGGAACCCATAGGTATTAGATTTAAGTTCTATTATACGTGGGTTTAATTCAATTTTATATTAATTTATTTAGTATGTTTTAGTTTATTTAGTTATTATTTTACGATTTGATATATATTAATGTAATGCTTAATTATTATTAGAATTTGTAATTGTAAATTTGAAAAAAAAAAAAAAAGCCTAAGCCAAGCCAATCAACAATTTAAGAAAAAAAATAATATGAGATTTTACAATAATTTGTGTTAGAGAAAAAAACCAAGATGCTTCGCGCTTTGAGATAAACATTCGTTCAATATTATAGATAGTATATAAGGAGTTGGGAAATTCAAATTTAAAACTTTTTTTTTAAAAAATGTGGGTGTAATTGATAAAGTTAGAAGGTTGTCACATGAATAATTAATAAATTAATATAATAAATAAAATTTTGTATTAATATTCTAACTTCATTTATGAAGTTTAAAATTTTGATCAATGATATATAAAATAATAATTCATATATTAATGTTCCGTAACTTATAAAAATTATATGCGGCTAGTATAATGGTTAGAAACTATTATATATATGCTACGGAAATAGAGTGCATAACATAAAAGTAAATAGTTTGATAAAGTAAGAATAAGGAAATTCTTAGGAAATAAAAATATATCTTTGGTTGTTGCGCATTTAATGTTGAAATTTTAAGAAAAAGATTTCCAAATATTCATAATGCTCTTCTATTTTATTTTGAAATTGATTTTGATAAAATTAAAAATATTAATAAAAAATAAATTAATTAAATAATATAATGATAAAATTAAAATTCATTACAAAAATATATTTTTAGACACAAATATAAAGTGACTATGAGATTTTTTTTTTATAATAAAACAATTAACTGGCTGAAGATACAATTATTCACTAAATTCCAACTCCTCCAATCATAAAATAGAGAGTAATAGAAGTAATTGTACCACGAATGCTATCCAATTACACAGCATGACGTAGTTAGCTCGAAAGAAACTGAATTCTAGGGAAAATCCAATAGAGTCCTTGATCATTAGACGATCGTTAATAGAGGGGTAATCTTGGGTGTTGCTTCTGATGCAGTAGTTTTGCTCATACAAATTGTTCTTTGAAATTCGTACAGTACTTGTCTGTTACTAAATGGGAAAGAAAAATAAAGGGCAAAAGATTCTTCCTTTCCTTGTATGATATATGGTAGTTGGTTCTTTATTCGTTGGATATTATATATTATCTGGCAGCAGCACTGCAAAATTGTTTACTGATTTATGCACAATCAATATAGAAAATTAAACAAAAAACAAAAGCCAGGATAAGGTGAAAATGGAAACGACAAGTTGTTTAATTTATTAATCCACACAAAGAGATACAACACTTTTCGATACAGTAACGGGTCTTTGATTTTTAATTTTGAAGAATCGAAGTAATATTTTATGATAATAATTTTTTAATATATAAAATTTGTTAATAATAAAAAAGAAAAAAATTTTATATGTAACATTTAATAATTAAATTTATAATTATAAGTATGTAAATATATTAAACAATTGGTGTTATGATTTCTCTTTATATTATAAATTACTAGCAACATCTTTATAAATATAAAATTATGTTAATAATTTTGGCATATAACAATTTAATAAAAAAAGTATGTAAAATATAATAAGATAAAAATTTTGATTAAAAAATCACATTTGAATATTTGTTAAATTAATTTTATTTATTATAATTCTTATATATATATATATATGTGCACGCGTTAAACTTAAATATACATATTTATGAAAATATAATTGTGACAAAGTTATTGATTTAAAATGTAAAATTATTTATTAATAAGTAAATAAGTTTAAAAATTGTAATGTTTAAATATAAATAATTTTTATTGTTATATATTAATAAATATATAAAATAATATATATATACACACTAAATTTAAATTTGAGGGGGCTAGCTAAGATTTTTGTAAAGTAATTTTAAAATTATTAAGAATATACGTATAAAAGATTTTTAAAAATTTTTTGGAGCCATGGCCCTAAGCTCTAGTCAGGCACTGCTTTTGGTCCGACGATTCTCTCTCCACGCGAAATAAGCTCTATTGGGTGATAAAGCTCGTAAAAATTCGACTTGAATTACGATTAAAGTTTTAAAAATTGTTGGGAACGCTGCTAGTTATTCTATTTAAGGATAGTAATAGGTAGGATTAAGATAAATTTTTATTCGTTTTAAATTTAATTTAATTTTATATTAATAATATTTGAATTTGATTTAATATGATTTTTTTGTTATTTTTTATTAAAATTTGATTTGATATTATATAAAATTATATTTGATTTGATTTAAAATTAATAAAATATTATTTTTAAAATATAATATATTATTTTTAATATTAATATAAAATTATATAAATAATTACAAATATTTTTTTATAAATATATCAAGATAAAATTACTTAAAATTCAACCTTAAATTTTTTTATTACTCAATCTAAAATTCAATTAAAAAAATTTTATCTTAAATAATCAAATCATATCAAAATTTATGGATTAGGAATGAGTTTATCATCTCTACTTCTACTCAGAATATATGTGTACACTTGAAGTTATATTTATGAATCGTGATTTTGTAAATAAAATTGTAAAATCTTTTTCATCAAAAAGATACTAACTAGCTTATAATATTAGGCTGCTAATCTACTAATTTTTATTTGGGAAGATCAGGAGCTTTTCTACGTACTATTTGATACTTATATAATTCATTTTAAATCATGAGTTCCGGTTTTTTTCTTTTCTTTTCTTTTTTTTTTATCCTCGTTTGATCGAACACTATTCAGGAAACATGCGCGTTAACTTGGACCTTGAACGGTATAGAAGGGAAAAAAAAGAAAAAGAAAAAATTCTTTATCTGATTAGACTTGAGTTTTGACAGCCGTTCGGTCAATCCAAGATTCGTCCACTACAAGTAAGGTTTGTGAGTTGGCCTCAATTACTTGTCCTATATCATCTATACAAAACAGACATTTTTAGCGTTATTGGTTTCATCGAAAGACAAAACAAGCTTAGAATTACAGCTAACAATATCTTGTAGACTCCTAGGTTAGGCAGGTTAGGCTGGATTCAATGACCCCTTTTTTGTCTCTATCTCTTCACATTTCAAAACGTACGTGAGAAATTCTTGTTTGGCGCTAGTGTGGCTGTTAGAAAATTTTTTGAATTAAAATAAAGTGCATTTAAGAAGTGAAGTTAAAAATTTTAAGTATTTAGTGTTGATTTAAAAAAATAGTTTACGTAATTGATATGTTCAAAAAATATACATAAAATATTAAAATATTAAAATATTAAAAATATAAGATAATATAATAAATTTTTTAAAATTATTTATTATTATAAAAGTACATGTTGAGTAGTTTTTTTATTTGGATTGTAAAATTAAAATTTTAAATTAAAAAATAATTTATATTATTTAGCATTGAAATTGAATTTATTTTTTGATTAAAAAATATTGAGATTTAGTAAAAATTGCTTTTGAATATAAAAATTACTTTCAAGAGTAACGCCAACGTATGTCTAAAACAAATTATAAAAAAAAAAAAAGTTATAAAAAGTAAAATATGTATCCATAATTGCAAAATTTTAACATTGTACATTATGGGAAAGAACATTTTTAAGCTCGTGAAGATTTTATCAGTTAACTCCTAAATTTGACTCCACAACATATCTCGCTTGAATTTAGTTTGCATGCCAAGGTAAATTTGGATTAAAAAAGTTTTAAATCTATTTTTTAAATTAAAAATATTATAATTATATAAAAAGTTATTAAATTAATTAATTAATTAATCAATACTTTAACACAACTGATTATATTTAATAAAAATTAAATCAAATTCACATGATAAAATTTAAATTTGAGATTTCAAAATTTTAAAATTTTTTTATCATTAAATCAAAATCTATTTGAAGGGTAAAAACACTAATTTGCTCACAATTTATTTTAATGAGGAAGAGAAACACATGCCTCATATTATAATGACGACAGCTAATATGTCGTGGTCGTTTTCTTTCTAAACTGAACATCTGAATTCTCTTAAATGAATTTTGTCTTTATCTGATCAGAAATAAACAAATAGTACATACTAATGGGGGATGAGGGTTTCGGGGATAGAAAAGAAAGAAAAAAAAGATGCTTAGATTCTTCCTTTACATTTAATAATAATTTTCTTTATCATAGTCTCAATATTTTTTGGTTTCTTAGAAACAAATAAATTGAAAGTGGAAGATTAAAGCAACCATTATTTTATATAATGTTGCGGCATCTGTATCAAATTGTTTGTCGATATCTTTCATTATATAGAAATAAATTCCATTGACAAGTAGTTCTGTTGTGTTGTGTCTATCTAAAACAGTAGACATCAATGGAAATAATGCCTATTGTGCTTTTCTTTCTTTTCCTTTTTCATCCTTTGTTTTGAAAATTGCTTTTCCATATTTTGAACGAACACTTTCCTTTTAAATCTGTGAAAGGATTTCTCTTTAGAAGAAAGATAATAAATGTTAAAATTTAAACTTTAAATTTATTTAAATATTTTTTTTAAATAATTATATAAATTGATTGAATTAAATTTTAAATTCATCTTTTTTTAATTTTAATATATACCTAGTTAATGGGTTGTATAAACTAGACGATAAGTGGAATAATGTCACACTGACACTGGATTTCACAATTTAAAATATAATTAGCATATTTTAACCGTTATTTACTTAAATATAGTAAAATCCGAATGTCAAAGTTAGATTTCAACGAAATCCAGTAGCTTATTCAAGCTTTCTAATCCACATAATATGACTCAATGGTCTTTTTGTTGTTTTATCTGAATCCCCAACTAGAATTCTTTTGGGTTTTCGTAAACAATATAAAGTCGGCCATAAATGGGAAAGCACTTAAAATCTTGCCCCCATTTACATATAGTTTAGAATGCAATAATTGAGGCAAGACAACATAAAAGGTGAAATTTTTTACTTTCCTATCATTTTCAAGTTTCAACTATACAAGAAACCAAGATCGGATAAGATGAAGTATGGAACAAGATTTAACAGACCTCAAATCAACACCCCAAGAAAAGTCGGACAGTTACAAGATTCAATGAGATCAAGAAAAAAAACAAAAATGAAATGGAATAAAAAAATTCGGAGGTAAAAACTAATTAAAACCCCAGCGCTAATGGCAAGAGTTTTTACCGGGGAGCGGCAGTTTCACATGAACTTAGCAGTTGTTCCAAGAAATCAGCTCCTAAATCCTCCAATACCACCAAGTTTTGTTGTTGCCTTGCCGTCTCGTTTTGTTTGCTTTTCTTGTTCTTTGATCTTTTCCTTAAGGAGTGTCTCTTCTTCAGAGCCACAACAGGGGAGCAACCCTCTTCGCATCGATACTTGATGTCCTGAAGCGATTCCCTGACAACTTCTATTGGGAAATTGAGAGTAGCCAATGACCCTCTCATTGAAAATGCTGCTTGATCATAAGCTAGAGCAGCGGCTTCAGCGCTGTCAAAGGTTCCTAGCCAGACCCTGACACCATTTCTCGTTGAATCCCTAATCTCAGCTGCATATTTTCCCCATGGCCTCTTCCTGACCCCTCTGTAATTTTTTTCTTTCTTGGGTTCTTCATGTTTAGCGTCCGAGGTAACCTCTTCCTCCTTTACACCATCGGTGGAGTTAGACTCTGAGGATTCTTTAGGCCCTTCAGCCAACAAATCCATCCAAAGCGTTTCTTCAGAATCATTGAAGTTGAAAGGAAGAAGCTCATCCCAGCAACTAGAAAAAGGCTCTGGCGACCCAAACGATGATGCAGGGGAGAAATCTGGAGTAATTGAGCACTGAAAGAAAGAAGACTCCTCCATATCTGGGTGAAATTCTTGCAAGATTATTCGCCTAGCTGTACGCTTTAGATTTTGCCCAAGTTGTTCTCTTTGTTCTCTCAGTGACAACTAACAAACTAGGCTTTGGTCTAACATTTGAAGTACCAAACCCTCTCTATATACCAGAATTAAAGAGCAGATTTGAACAAAAAATTATTAAAAAAAACACAGATTAAAATAATGAAAAAAGATTTAAAAATAAAAATCCAAAGAGGAATTACGCACGTGAGTCAAATGACGTACGGCGGCGGGATTGGACCAAAAATTGCATAAGATATGACGTATATTTCCTTGTCAGCATACTTCGGCCTTCTGCTTTTCGTTTGTTGTCAAAACTTGGAATTCAAATTCTTTCGACTTTTCTCTCCATACTAAAAAAATAAATGAAAATTTACATCAAATGATCGGTGTCGTTTAACTGACTGTAATTTGTTAATGAAAGTCCTTTCTTTTTTATCCAAGACCCAAGTCTTGAGAAATGAGAGTCCTATTTCCAAATTGATTCAAGAGCAACACGAATTTTTGATCAAATTACTCTATTTTAGAGGAAATATCAAGAAAGGGGTTTTAAACAAAACAAATTTTGAATTGCATTCTCATACCATTGTTTCCGGTCAGACAATTTTCCAACCAGAAAATTCTACCAAATATATAGTATTATAATTTATTTTAAAGATTTTTTTTATCTTTTTAAATTATAATTAAAATTCGAATTCAACACCCATTAGCTTATCTACTTGATTTGAGATGAACTTTAGACAAGGATTTTAAGCTTGTATCAGTCTGAACTATTGTTTGATAAAAAAAATGTATTTTTAAAATATATAAATATTGATAATTTTTTTAAGACTTTAATATTTATGAATGGTAAATTAAAATTATTTTGCTCGAGTTGAGTAAAATTTTTTTAAAAAAAATTAATCAAATTTAATCTGAGTCGTAAATACTTCTAACTGAAATAGATATCAACAAGAATTGATTGTTGAGTTTTGATTTGACATTTTTCCATGTAAACCGCCCTTTTTTCACATTTATTTAATTAAAGTTTCATCGTTTCCCAAAACAAAAAAGGTAAAATAAACAACACATACAAAGGCGGTTTTATGGCATATCAATGGATAAAACTTTGTCACATCAAGCTGTAAATCAACGATTTTTATGGCTAATTTTTTGCCACATCCAACTGAAAAGCATTTATCATATCCAGCCAAAATTCAATCCGCTTTCTTTTTCACAAGCACAATAAAGATTAAGTTTTGCTTGGTAAAAAATATTAGGAAAAAGTTTTTCGTCTTTATCTTTTTTTTTTCCATTTTCTTATCAAGCAAAGCAAATGTAGCTAATTTGTAAATTGCCAATTTCTGAAGTATAGAAATTTCAAGAAATGTCTTCTGGTTCTTGGCATAATGCCAAGAAATTTTTAAAAAAATATTAAAATTTATATTCGAATTAAAATTTTTTTTCTTTTTATATAATGAGATGTTGCCCTCTTTTAAGCAGAAAAAATGAAATTTCAAGAAATGATCTTACATAAACCATATTCTGATATTTGCAGTCAAATTTTAGTGGTGAGAATGACAAAGTGTATCCATCTAAAAATTAGTTAATAAGAACTGTATAATTCAACCATTCCAAATTACAATCATTTATTTATTTATTTATTTATTATATTTGAAATTAACGGTAATTGAATTTAAAAGTTTAACATTATATCAACTAATCATATAATTGTTGATATCAATTTACTTGTTTTGCATAATATCATGATTTCAGTGGCACTTGTTGCAAAAAAATCTATTGTATAATTTGGGAGATTTTACTTAGAATCTTCTTTATTATAATTCTGCAAGTAAACAATTATAATAAAAAATTTATTACTTAAAAATATGAATTTTATATAATTTTTTTAAAAAAATATTATATAATATTAATTTATAATTAATTAATTACATTATAATAATTATAGTTTATATATTATATTCAATCTAGTCGATAATGACGAGAATACATGTGAAATGAAAGGGGACCCTGATCAGGGTGTTTAAATCCATTGGGCAAAGCTTAGGCAATGCTCCACCACATTTCTGTCAACAACACAAACATCAAGATCGATCAAAACAACAATATTGAAAACGATGTGCCCATGAGCATCTGCATACGTTATGAATTTCAGTCATAGTTTTCTTCATCTAAGAAATTAATTAATGTGAAAAAAAGTCAGGGATCAAGGTCTATCAGCATGCAAGAAATTACTAGAGCGAAAGCGACAGGGGGCGTGCTTTCCATCGCTGTTTAATCCAAATTGGGTCTATATTCAGGCCCCCTCTATCTTGAAAGGTTGCTTTACCATTCAACGTCTTCAAGAACTTTGGGATAAAATTTTAAGTCCTCTCAGAAGGGAAAAAGATTATTATATGGTGTAGGTTGATTGAGACCTCTCTCTATTCTTTATTTTCCTTCAATTAATAAATCATTTCATAATTAATTACAAATATTTGGAATAAAAAAGATGTTTAGAAAAAAATTAAATATAATTTAATTAATTTATATAATTATTTTAAAGAACTAATATTTAATAAATTTAAATTTTAAATCTTAGCAAGAATAATTTTGTTTATTTTTATATTACAATTTTTTTGTAAAAAAAGTGTTGGGAGCTTTTAAAAAAGAGAGAAATTGAAAAAAAAAAGTTGATTAAAAAGGAGTGTTGGAACATACTTCGGAAAATTTTTCTTATTTTGAGAATTGCAAAGTAAACAATTTCACCATTTGATGCTAATTGTTAGATGTCAACTTGTGCTTTTCTTTCTGCCCCTCAAATTTTCTTCAAGTATGATTCTAATGGGGACAAAATGGGCCCCTAGACACACATTAAAATAATGATAGTACCAAAATTCTTGACTAAATATATATAGAGAGACAATTTGCAAAATCTTTTGGGAGCAATTTTCACACTTGCTTGTATACCGATTGGGCTTTAAAAATCATAAATACACATAAAAACCCATTTTCGTTTTACTCGAAAAAATGGTAAGATTTTTGTAGTAATTGAATAAAGAGAAAAGATTATATAAAATAGTTACTTTGTGTCGGTTTATATTTTTTTATTTAATTATTATGTAATTATAGTAATAAAAAATTAATTATTTATTACATATCATATATATATAAATATGTTAAAATAAATCTTTATTATTTAATTATCACATATAATATAAATTAATAATTAATTTTTTAATGAATTAAAAATATATATATTAATATAAAATAATTATTTCATACAATCTTTTCTTTTAAATAAAATGAAAGAACCAATACATAAATAAGTGTATTAAAAATATATCAAAGCAAACAATAACTTTATACAAGCCACAAATTTCTTCTTGAGCATAGTTTTAAATCCAAACCTTCCCTTCCTATTTATAAAAAACAAAACAAAAAAAAAACTTTTTTGGTTTGGTTTTTAATAAATATGATAATGATTTAAATCAAATTATATTATATTTTATTTATTTTTTATAATGTATAAAATTATGAATTTTAAAATTAGATTTAAATTTGAACTAAATTTTCATATAATTTAATATGATTTTAATTAAATTTTATTGATTCGATTCTATTTATTATTTTTAAAATTATTTTTTTAATTTTTTATATATTAATTTAATATAATTTTTAATATATTTAAATAGATAGAAGTATAAATAATTATTTTATTTTATAAAAATTTAAAAAAAAATAAAAATAAATAAAAATATATATTTCTATTCAATTTTTTTTATTTTTCACTTTTTAATCCAAAAGTCTATTCAAATTTAATACATATACTTAATATCTAAATTTAATCTAAATCAAATTTAAAAAATTTATACAAATTAAATCAAACCTTGGTATTTGAAATCAATTTTTAAAAAATATATTTTTTTTCTCACCTCTAATTCCTGCTTAGTGAGAAACTCCTGTCACGTGACAAGAGGGTGGTCGCAAGGTCAAGATGAATAGTGGTGCCCACCATACCCGGACTCAGTCATTTGTGATTTGACTACTTTTTTCTTAATCCAAAAGCAATAATTTTAGGCCAGACAACTCCAGGATTCGTTGTATGTGGTCACTTCCTAGATCACATTATATTTTTTTATTAAGCCCTCAATCATGACTGGCTCCCATATGGCCTTAAAATAGGCCTTTATTTTTCCGTCCGGGGCCGCCATCGCCGTTTCCGGGGACCAACTATAGTAGCTATCGGAGCTTAAAGGAATCGCTTTCTGTATAAATAAATTAGTCAAAGGTAATCTATGATGATTAGCTTGACTAATTGCTTGTTAACTAAAAAATTTGTAAAGTAATTTTTGTTAGTTTTTAATTTAATCTAATACCCCTATATTAATGGAAAGATGCCAGCCTTCCTAATTAGGGGGATTATAGATGGTGATTTCATTGCTTTGCTGTCAACAAATTAAAAATAGAGTAAAATGCATGGTGCTTAAATTTAATAACCATTACAAAAAGAGAGAGACAACTTAATTGAGATTAATCTTATTCTTTTAAGAAAATCAATTTAATAACGCTTCCTTGATATTCAATCCTAAAATATATCTTTTAATTAAGTGAAAATAATGCAATCAGACTCTCAAATGGAACTGAACTAAGAGGAAATTACATGAAACAAAGTAGTGAAATGAGTGCTAAGCACTTTCGGTTTCATGGGCCAATCAAAATTCAGCGGTGAACGCAGATATGTATGGCAACTTGTTGTTGATGTAATAGCTAAGTAATTGGGGATGGGGCCGGCCAACGGAAATTTTTTCTTTCATTTCTTTGTGGCAAGGTGCATGAACCACTGTACGTAGCTTAGTTGAACAAAGGAGATATGCTGGGAGCTTAGCTAATCAATCCATTCAAACAAAAAGATTTTGCAGACGTATAATTAAACGAGCTAGATTCTGACGGTAATTATTTAATGATTTGTCTGATGATCGTGGCGATGTTATGTGCTATTGAGCACGATCGTTTCATGACCATGTTAACATTTTTAATCCTAATTAATATATAATACTGATTTGATTTATACATGTAAAACAATTAGTAATCAGACCAGGGTAAATTAAAAAAAGGGTGAATATTTTAATTAAAATGCTGAGAGCCTGAGATTATAATCAT